ATTGGTCATTTTACTCGTTGCACGCGCACGCACGTGCATGCACGTGCGCGCAAAATGACCTTCGTTCCGCAAATCTACATAACATTCCTATTAACCCTGAAAAGGTTTCAACTCAATCGGCTGTATAGTTTCGGAGATCACTCACGGACAAAAAAGTACCCAGGAAGAAAAATAATAATAACTAGAAACTTATTGCGAGCAATGAGAGGTCTTCCGTCCAATTCTGAAAATAAAAGCAAATATTCACTCTGAAAAAGTGATAAAAGAAATTCAGCGTGAAAATCCAAGAAAGCTAACCATTAACCATTCACTTTTCTGCATCACTTCCTGTCACGACCGAAAGTAACTGCGATACAAGATTTTCTCACGATTCAAATAAACTAATGACTGACTATCAGACCTGAAAGTTTTAGACTTCAGTCGTTTACTGTTGCCAAGCAATATTGTGAGAACAAATTCTAATTTTGAGGACAGGTAATCACTCGACAGGAAGTGAATTTTATAAAAATCTCTGCAAACTTTTTCAATCAAAAAGATGAAAACATACATAAAACTCCTAAAAGACTCTCTATTAACCCTGTAAATCCCAAAGAAAAATACTGAAAAACAAAACAGTTTGCAAATTTAACATTTTTGAATTCACTTCCGTTTCCGACCGGAAGTAAGAACGACGAAAATTAATTGTCGATCAATATATCTACATTTGATGCTCTATCACCTCAGCAAGTTTCATATTCATATCTTTAGCCATTCTCTGATGATACTGTATACTTTCTTTTATTCTTTATGTATTCAACTTTTTATTTCATGTAATTCCATATACCTGCATGTCCATGTAATCTTTTTCTGCACTTCTATATACTTCTGCATCAGACCATTTGTCTACTACGAAAGGTTGATCACGATACATTATTTCGCGCGAAACGTCACGGGTAAATATTCGAGCATATCCTTCGGAATGTATTTTCTATTGAATGGTGATGGCTTCAATGAAATTTCAAAATGTATGTTCTTATAACCTGAATATCGAACTTGAGAAAGTATATTTATCATATTGTACTTATTATATATCGTATGGATAAGTAACACTGAAGCAGTAATTTAGGTAAGATTTTCTACAAGTTTTATTTTCCTGTTTACCCCCAAAGTTGACTATCCCGATTAGTTACACATTCATGGGAAGACTGGAATGTTTCGCCCAAAAACATGTCTCGTCCTGCGACAGTCAGGGAATCTGATACCATTTATGTTCAATAACAACATCTTTTAGAAAAAATATATATAAATCATTTTCATTAAACAATCTTTAAAAAAAATGGTTTTCTTATTTCTGTCTTTTCTGTTCATTTAATATGACACAAGCCTGCATGGGGAAAAAAACAATGGCCACGTAATAATTACTATATATTGATTGCTTTAGTCAGGCAAGTTTCTTGAAAAGCTTTTACTTATAACCATGGTTTAGGATCAGTTTTTCCGTGGTGTAAAACAAAAGGTTGTAGTTATTGTATTTCCACTTGTAGCCATGTCGTTTTTCTACTTTGAGATACAAACAAGAAAAATTATAGTAGACGTTTTAGGAAACCCCGGATTAAAACTCTATTGCGAAACAGAATTGCAACGTAATTGTGATGTGACAATCCAACATTTCCTTCACATTTCTTTGATCCTTATGGTACTTTCATTCAAACAAACGCTCGGCTGACTCCGTAAATTCTGACCTACTTATCGGAGTTTACAGAGACAGCCGCCATTTTGGACCCGCTTCAAATTTAGAAATGCAAATATCTAGAGTTTGGATTGATCAATTCTAAAATAAATTATATATAAAGCATTTTCAGAAGAGCTTCTATTAACCTTATTAAAATAAAAGAACAATATAGAAAAACAAAAAAGTTTAAAAATACGACTTTTTTAAATTCGCATCCGGTAACGAGCGGAGGTACTGACGACGCACAAAAAGGTGATTCCCCTCATCTAGAAGACATAACCTATCATCTCTAACAAGTCTCCAGTTCATATCTTAAACCATTTTTGAAAAAAAGGGGGGACAAAATTTCATGTTAAAATCAGAAAACTGTCAATAACTTGGCACCAGAAGCGAGTTTTCCAAATTTTTCTTCTGGTGAACAAAGTTCATTTAACGACGCATAATTCCTGAAAGTTTCATTTAAAACCACTGAATAGTTTTCGAGAAATCGCCTGCACAAAATTTTGGGGGAAAAAATAATAATAATAATAAGAAACAGTAGAATCACTATAAGGTCTTCCGTGAAGACGAAAGACCTTAACTAGATGAGATCTCGTTGCGAGCAACGAGTAGGTCTTCCGTCCGATTTTTCGATAAGATGAGATATGATTTTGACTATGATCTTTGTTAAAAGATAATAATATATAGACTTCCCTAATCAGATTTCATTCTTTTGATTTATATATCATTATCAAAGAGGTATAGATGACATGCTTTTGGCCCCTCTGAGCCCCTAGTTTGAGGGGTCAGCCCCTTTTTCTTGATATCAATTGAAGGGTCTTGTGATTTTGAAGACTTTTTGTGCAAGAAGTATTCAGAGATTTCTTTTCGTTGTGGAGATATGCTGATTGGAAATATTTAGGGGCCATCCCTTAAAGTTTTTAGTGGGGCCGTTTGACAAAAACTGAAAGGGTGCATATTGTTTAGAACATTATTCTGACCATCTTTTGTTCAGTATTGCTTATCAAAATATTCCCCCTTTTCGAGATATAAAGCGTCAAAGATATAGCATTCTGGCCCCTTGTGACCCCTTATTACGTAACATATGATCAGAATCTTATCATATATTGTTGTAAATCGTTAAGATAAACATCTTTGCTTTAGTAATGTATTACAAATTATTGATCGTTAAAGAGTTATAGATGAAAGACTTTTGGCCCCTCTAAGCCCCTAATTTGAGGGGTAAGTCCCTTTTTCTTGAAATCAAATGAAAGGTTTTGTGATTTTGAAGACTTTTTGTTCAACAACTATTCAGAAATTTCTTTTCGTTGTGGAGATATGCAGAATGGAAATATTTAGGGGCCACCCCTCCAAGTCCGTAATTGGGCCTTTTGACAAAAATTGAAAGGGTGCATATTGTTTAGAACATTATTCTGACCATCTTTTGTTCAGTATTGCTTATCAAAATATTCTCCCTTTTCGAGATATAAAGCGTCAAAGATTTAGCATTCTGGCCCCTTGTGACCCCTTATTACGTAACATATGATCAGAATCTTATCATATATTGTTGTAAATCAATAAGATAAGCATCTTTGCTTCAGTAATGTATTACAAATTATTGATCGTTAAAGAGTTATAGGTGAAAGATTTTTGGCCCCTCTGAGCCCCTAATTTGAGGGGTCAGACCCTTTTTCTTGATATCAAATGAAAGGTCTTGTGATTTTAAAGACTTTTTGTTCAACAGCTATTCAGAGATTTCTTTTCGTTGTGGAGATATGCTGATTGGAAATATTTAGGGGCCATCCCCCCAGGTCCTTAATGGGGCCGTTTGACAAAAATTGAAAGGGTGCATATTGTTAAGAACATTATTCTGACCATCTTTTGTTCAGTATTGCTTATCAAAATATTCTCCCTTTTCGAGATATAAAGCGTCAAAGATTTAGCATTCTGGCCCCTTATGACCCCTTATTACGTAACATATGATCAGAATCTTATCATATATTGTTGTAAATCGTTAAGATAAGCATCTTTGCTTCAGTAATGTATTACAAATTATTGATCGTTAAAGAGTTATAGGTGAAAGATTTTTGGCCCCTCTGAGCCCCTAATTTGAGGGGTCAGACCCTTTTTCTTGATATCAAATGAAAGGTCTTGTGATTTTAAAGACTTTTTGTTCAACAACTATTCAGAGATTTCTTTTCGTTGTGGAGATATGCTGATTGGAAATATTTAGGGGCCATCCCCCCAGGTCCTTAATGGGGCCGTTTGACAAAAATTGAAAGGGTGCATATTGTTTAGAACATTATTCTGACCATCTTTTGTTCAGTATTGCTTATCAAAATATTCTCCCTTTTCGAGATATAAAGCGTCAAAGATTTAGCATTCTGGCCCCTTGTGACCCCTTATTACGTAACATATGATCAGAATCTTATCATATATTGTTGAAAATCGTAAAGATAAGCATATTTGCTTCAGTAATGTATTACAAATTATTGATCGTTAAAGAGTTAACAATGAAAGACTTTTGGCCCCTCTGAGACCCTAATTTGAGGGGTCAGCCCCTTTTTCTTGATATCAAATGAAAGGTCGTGTCATTCTGCACAACTTTTCTTCTATATGTTTTAACAAATTCTTAACATGTATGAAGATATGAAAGAAAAGGTGTAGAATTTTGTGAGATGTTTCTGAGATTTTTTTTTAGCCCTACCGAGCTTCGGCGCCTTTTGCGCTAGAGAGATTTGGACACCTGCCTGCAAATCTACAAACCTTCCCCTACGTTCACTGAAAATCTTGAATCAATATCTTAAGTCGTTTCGGAGGAGTTTCCAGGACAAGCCGACCCTCTGAAAATCAGAAAATCGTCAATATCTCACGACCGGAAGTGACGTCATCAACGAAAAAAATTTCCAATAAGGTTCAGATCAATACCTATCAGATCTGAAAGTTTCATGAAAATCGGCCGAGACGTTACCGAGAACTCGCGTGCACAAAATCGGTAAGAATAATAATAATAATAATAATAGGGAAAAAGAAACCGAACGAAAACAATAAGGTCTTCCGTTGGAGACGGAAGACCTTAATAATAATAATAAGAAACAGAGTAAAAACAATATGTTCCCAAACTTCGTTTGGGGAACATAATTAACAACATAAAATATTAATAATAATTCTCAAATAAATATATATCACAATTAGGTTAACACCATTTTATGAATATAGATAATTCTAGCAACATTGTCCTGTTATATGTACATATACTCAGCTCACAATCCTTGGCAAAGTCTACTGTATATCACATTGAAAATATTTTTTAATTGTCCCACAAGGAATCTTTACTCATTAAGATTTGGCTCTTCTTAATAAGGGTACATAGTCCCTCAAGACGGTAATAGCTCGTCTCCACAAAGATTTGATTGAGTATGGCCTTATCCGCTGGGAGAATGTGTTCCAGTTGGGATGGATCTAATATAAAGTCAAAGAACCGAGGTTTCATGTCAATAAAATACACTGGAAGATGATCTTTGCTGTAAGGGATAACGGGGGCATCCTTTGATATTATAGCTGCTAAAAACGAGTCCGAATCGCTTTGTAAAGAGGGACTGCTCGTTTCAAACTTTTTCCCTCCAACATTTAGGACTAGGCGTTGTTGTTGGGCTGCTTCGACTCCTTGTAAAATGGATGTCATCTTATCGGTTGGATAGTAAGCCGGAGCGTCCTCCACTTCAGGGATTGTGTACGTATCCGATCACCCAGCGAGATGGCCTTCTCGGGCTGGGATGATCCAGAAGATGCTGACGATGAAGACGACGATGATGAGGAAGTGAAAGAAGAGGAGCTGGACGAACAAGATGACAGCCCAGAAAGATGACACACACTCTAGAAGGTTTTGGAGGAGGAAGAGCAGCAGCATCTCCCGAAGCAGCTGGTTTCGCTTCTTGAATAGTTGGGATGATCTCAGTGGAGGTGGGAGGTGTTTGTCGTTTTTGTCATGTTTCTGTGTTGTCGTTGTTTTGAATACTTTGCGTGATTTAATGTTTGCAGGTGGATCAATCAGAAGAGTCTTTTCATGCCTTTGCCTCCGTTATATACATCGGGCTTAACTTCCTCATATAAGGCTCCACGTGCCTCCCTCTCTCTTTCTGAACGTTCTAAAATTCCTTCCTCTCCTCATCTGTGTATGTCCCTGTACACTTCTTGACTATTTCTAATGAATAATTGGGGCAAGCGTGTTTCATGTCATGTCGTAATATTTTACACACAGTGCACTTAAAAGCGAAGCCCGAATGTCAGCTGACGATGTGCCTTTCTGCATGCACTAATTGTGTGAATTCCTTTCCATCGCATAAGAGGCATTTGAAACGTTGAATCTGATAAACAAAATAATGAAAGATATCAAGCTTTATGGGAATTACCTATTTGTATATTACAGATATACCATTAATAATTTGATTTTTGTTTGTTTATTGTTAAACGCCCCTTTCGAGATTTTTTCACTCATATGGAGACGCCGCCACTTGCTGGTAGAGAGCTACAAATTTGACCTATACTCGGCACTGAGGGCCATTGAGCAGTGAGGGATCTTTTTCGTGCCAGCACCTACTGCGACCTCGGTTTATATGGTCTCATCCGAAGGACCGGTCTCCACGTCCCAAACTGGGATTGGAACCCGCGACGTAAGGATCAACTCCTTTACTCAGCGACTCTAGAGCGAACGCCCTAACCACTGCGCCACGTGGGCGGCTTAATAATTTGAAGGAGGGAGTTAATAATTTGAAGGAGGGAGTCTATGCATGAGATTTCAACCATATGGGCTTATTTACTCCCATATATGGTTTTAATCTGTTGTGGTGAATAATATCCCCATTATGTTTTTGCACTTTTCCCTATTTTGTAAGGAACATCATTTATTCTTTGTAAAACAATGAATGGTTCCATCCACTTCAGGGATAACATTTTGTTGAGTCCCACATTTTGATTTGGGAAAAAGACCCATACAACATCTCCTGGGTTGTACTGATTTTGGTGTATTTTTGCATTGTAATCCCGTAACATAGCTTCAAAAGATGTGCTTGTTTATTTTGGGCAAATTCATGTTTTTTATTTAATTTTTCTGACATATTTTGGGCGTATTCAGAACTTAATTTTGATTCATATTTTACAGGATCAACTCTACCAAGCACGAAGTGAACTGGGAGTGTGACCGATCGCCTAAACACCATTTCACATGGGCTTATCCCTGAGAATATGATCGATATGCCAACATGAGTAAGGGTATCAGTTCTTCCCAATCCTTTAGATTTTTGCTAACAAATGCTGAAAGCATATTTTGAATTGCTCTATTTGTCCTTTCTATCATCCCATCAGACTGAGGTTTATAGGGAGTAGTACGGGTTTTATCTATACCCAGTATTTTACACATTTCTTTGAAAACATCAGATTCAAATGTTTGCCCTTGATCTGAATGAATTTGCATTGGGACTCCAAAAATGGAGACTACATGATTTATTTAATTTCTGTGCCATTGTAACTAATTTCTTATTTGTAATAGGGATAGCATAAACTCATTTGGTGAAGTAATCTCCCACGACAAGAAGATAAGAATTTTTTCCTGCGAGTCATTGGTAAAGGACCTAATATATCCACTGTCTATCTTTCCATAGGAGCACCTACCAGGTATTTTTGTAACGGGGCCTTTGGGATTTTATTAGGAGATTTCCTAGCTGCTCATTTGTCACAGCTTTTACAAAAATGCTTTATTTCCTGGGACATTTTAATTTGTGCCAGAAATATTTATCTTTCTTATGGATAAACTTGATAAGTTTCCATTTTACACAGATTGCTTATGACCTGATGGTATGTCATGACCTTCACCCAAGGTCATTTGGGCACGTTCAAGGTCATTGACAGAAAAAGTTCATAATTCATGTCCGGTCTGTATGTTACTTATGGAAAATGTTGGGAATTTCCACTTCACACAAAGATTGTTTATGACCTGAGGATGTGTCATGATCTTGACATATATTTACTGTAGAAAAAATAGATAAATAATGGATCCATATTTTCCAACAGAGAAATACTTGAAAAATTGTTATTTATTTTTTCAATGTGATAAAAAAATGTTACTGATTAATACAAAAAAAAAAGGATTGATGATTTATTAAGCTGCGCCTTAGTTTCATACATTGGAAAATATAATGAACAATTACCGGTAAATCTTTACTCTAAATATTTAAACAATTTGTGAATACTTGTCCATGAGAGCCATCAAATACTAGTGTTAGTGACTTGGCACCTTCTCTGAAAACCCTGCGGGGGGTATTTGTCCCTTTTGGACAGTTCTAGTTGTGTAGGGCATATCCCAGAAGTACTTCCCTGAGACCTTGTGGCAACAGCACAGTTACAGGACGTTTCTAAATATACAGAAGCTGTGTTTGATGAAAAGAACAAATGATAATGCATTTCGGGAAGAAAATCCGAGTGGAACTTTTCCAGGCACGCCATGTTTGGTCTCATCCGAAGTGTCCCGCAACTTTCACTCTAAAGTACCGAGCGCTTGGCGAAGGAACAGTCGCCTATTTTTATCGACTTACGTCAGTCGCGGTCGAGATTCGAATTCACGGCCTCCCGATCGCTCTGCCGATGAGTTAAACGTGACGGTTTCGTTCCTAAATGAAAACGAGAATGTAATTGATACTAATAGAGGATTTCGATTTTTCATGATATGATTATTTACGATACAAACAACATACGTAATATACCTTGAAGTTATATGTCTTTTGAACGGGTGGCATGCCAAAGATTAGAAAACTATTGAAAGAAATGTGCAATAAGTAAAGTCAAATTTTCAATTCAGTTTATTCTTACATTCCTTCATTGCTTAGAACAACATAGAGACAAGTTAATGTATAGAAATACATAAACGACATAGCAGAATAACGTAGAATTTGTATTAACATGGAAATGAAGCTGTGAATTATGTGATTTGCTTGAAATTAACCAAACATTACTTAAGCATGCAAGTTTAAATAAGTTTGATGTTACTGCATTCAGGATACCAGTTTTACAACACATGGACTTTTTGTCAATAAATGACTTGAGAAAGAAACATTCATGCTTGCTTTACAGTCCCTGAAACGTTCTACTTTCCCATTTTTCCGTTCGCTCACCGTTCGTTCACCGTGCGTTCACCGTTCGCTCTCCGTTCACAGTCTTGCGTTCAGCGTTCACCGTGCGCTCGCGTTCACCGTTCACAAAGCGTTCAGCGTTCGCTCTTCGTTCGTTCACTTTGCTTTCACCTTGCGTTCAGCGTTCACTTATCGTTCAGTCTTTATTGTCATTCGGAACTCCGAAAGGAAAGGACTTATCTTTTTTTTAAGTAAGGATTTACAGGTTTTGAATTTAATTATTAACATATCGTGTTTTAAGAATCATTATTTCATGGGAAAAAATTATCTACAATATTTTTTTTATTATTCTTACTTAGCTGTTAGGTTATTTATTAAATTTATCTGGAAAATAAATGTTGTTATAAGTACATGTGCGTACCTATGTAGTACGATGTTGAAAAATTAAATTTTAAATACGGGCAATATACAGATACTTCAAGCACTGCAACATTTTGTTGTTACGTTAAAGACGACAAATCGTTAATAGATAGATAACAAACGAAGTCAGTTTAATTTACCAACTGCAGCAAAAATACGAAAATATTTATTCCTATCACATTTTTTTTCTTCAAATAATACAGAAATACATGTTAGAACTAGTTCTGAGAATTATAAACAGTACTGCGGATATCCAGTTAATTAAATATCTTTAGAGCGAATTAAATTGATAGCGTGGTTTAAAAAAAATATTTGCATAAAATGTAATATATTATAGAATTTTTTTCTACTTTACATATATAAAGTCTTTAATTAGAGAGAGAGAAATGCCTTTATAACATGATTATCATTTATATAACCAAGGTTATTCTCCAGTAATGATATTGTCCACCATAACTTTATATGTTTGATATTCGATATGATTAACACCCCCCCCCCCCCATTCCCCTAAATCGGTTACGTAGTATTTCCAGTATATTTGAATTAACATTTAAAAAGAAGTTAATGTGTTTTGTAGCACAAAAATTTCAGTCTCAAAACAAACATGCATCTAAACAAAGTCATTAAACAATAGTAGTTCAGAGTATACATGTGCCGGCGGTGATATTTTAAATTGGCAGGGAGTTTGTTTCAAATTCAAGCGGCTTAATCATTCCAAGTGTTTATTCCCAATGTATTTTATTCATTTATTTATTTTGTTTTAGAAATGTTGGAATCAGATCTAGAAATGATAAGAAAAAATGTTAAAACTTCTTGGAAATACTAACACTCTGCCTTCGGTGTGGCGAGACTTTCACACCTGCACAGCGTCGGATGATTTTGATTGACAGGTCAAGCACGTGGACTTCGTGTGAACTTGAGGCAGGAAAATAAAAACCGATTATGACTGTAAAACAAATGGATTTGTTGATACAAAATAGCTACTTTCACTGCCTGATATTTAGAAATAAATTAAGAATTTTTTGTTTGACATAGGTACAAACGTTTGAGGAAAGGGGGGGCTAAAACCGAATATCTCTCTCTCTCTCTCTCATTTGTTTAATAAAAATTATGACAGCATATTACTGAAATATCAAGTTGT